AAGAAGTAAACATATATTGATGAGAAAGGCCTTTTTTGGTTTGATATTCAAATAAAAAACAACAATCAAACAAAAAATCATATCTTCAAATAAGAGTGAACAGTTGGAGTTTGATTTTAAAGCAAGATTGTCATCTGCTATTGCAAATGAAACATTCAGAAGAGCAAAAGTTTCTCAACTAACATTTATTTTATCATGTTTATTTTTCTAATGTGATTTCTATTTTCAGAAAAAATATACATTCACACCACGCAATTTTTATATATTTTTTCATCTAATACTTAAAATTTGACATTCATACGTATAACACTTTAGTGTCATAATGGCATCACGTATAAAATTATATGCATGAAAATGTGTGATTAATTTGAATAAATTAATGCTAATAATATTTATGTAATATTATAGAAGTAAAGCTATATAAATACATGTGAAAATTAAGATGTTAGATGTATAAATACACGAAATTTATGTTCAATGAATGTAAATCCTTCATTTTTTTTATCATTATGAGACCAAATATTTTATTCATATTAAAATAGCGCATGATGACTTAGTTTTTCTTTCTATTCTTCTATATAATTGGATATTAATTACAAACAAAAAATGGTATTACTTCACATTTTATTTAAAATAAACTAATTTTTTAAATTATATTGAGTTAGCACCCATTATAAAATGCCTATTGCATTTCCCCAAATACTAGTGTAGTAATCAAGCCGAGTCGAGCATACTATATTGTAGATTGGACTTGACTTGATAAAATTATAAATTGTTCATTTTTAGCTTGAGCTCATGTAAAGCCTTCAAATAATGTTCAAGGTGGACTTGTTTAATCCTTTCAATGCTTAAACTTAATTTATTTATGTCAAGTAAATGAATTAATAAATAAGAAAAAAATTTGAAAGAATATTTAGGGTTTCATATAAAATTTTTAACAAACATTTTTTCAAATCAAAATAAGTAATTGAATAAATTATAAATCAATATCTAATTATTTTGTACAAAGTAAATAAAAAAGTATGTGTTGTAAGTAAATTTGCTGTAATTAAATGACATAAGTAAGTTCTAATGATTGCACAATCAAGCACGAGATAAGAGATGGTTGAGCCGAAAATGGAGAGGTGAACTCTGGTTTGCCAAAATAAGAGTAGGGTACATGATTTAATATATTGTTATTTGTGGAATTTAATTAATTTCATTGATTAATAATCAATAATTAATAATAATACTATAAGCAAAATATAATTTATAAATTTATGCAATTATTATGGAATTAATAAATTTAATTAACTATTAATTAAATTAATAAATACTTAACCCATGTTAAAATATATTTAATTAAAAATTAATTATAAAATATTATTGATAAAATAATACTACTATTAAATCTATAACTAAAAATTACTTGCTCAACAAAAACAAGTCTGTTTATGAACATAAATAAACAAGTTGGACTATGTTCAATGTTTATTTCATTTAACATTCGAGCTTTTAGAAAACATTCAAGCTTGTTTATTTACAAATCCAAACGAACATGATCAAATTTTAATCGAGTTGAGTTTGAGTTGTTCATCGAGTGCATTGACTCATTTACAACACTATCCTGAGCCCATTGTATTTGAACTAAATACACCTTCCAAACTCTTGGTATTTTCATCAAACAATGTTTCCATGCAAATATTTATTGGCGATGGCCCTGCTCCAAAGACATATTATTGAGTTGGTTCCCAACTGTCATAAAAGGTCAGGAACTAAGAATATACCACACAACATGGCTTCACCTAATTAGTACTACCAAACACGGTATATGGTTTTATGCCTACCATCAATTATATAGAGGTTTGAAGTTTTAATGAAGGAATGAGACTGATTATCCATTTCCAAGAAAATATAATGAAATCAGAATAAAAAGTGGTCAACAATGAATGTAGACCTTTTATGTCACCAAAATACTTATGACATAGAGTTATAAAAAAAGCTATCACAATCGGTTGTCACCGGCGACAACCAACATATGCTGCTGTATAAATAAACAAAAATATGATTTTACCATTATAAACATAAAATAAAATAATATTAGAAATTAAAAAATAAAAAATAAGAATGATCCTGAACAGCCTCCAATCATTCGAATCAGAATTTTTCAAAATCAACTGTGGCTATCCGACTACATTTTTAACAAAATTACAATTGAAATAAGCATCTAGATGAGACAAACACCGAACGATACCAACTAATGGATGCTAGGCATCAATGGCAAACGATTGAGGGATGAGGGACAACCTCTGTCGACACTACTCAAAGATAGGTATCAATGATGAATATAGACAATTAGTGTACATAAAAATGAATCGATATTGGACGTCTAATGCTACTAAACACGACTCTTGAACTCTCTAAGTTTTAGAATTCACTCGTGTAGAATCCTCCTAAATGTTTAAAAGCATGGACTTTTTATAGAATTCTAATTTGGGGCATCTTAATCATTTCTATCGAAAAGCAAAGCATTCTGTTGATCAATCAAAGTTGAACCCTCTCGGTCATTTGATATTTCTTAGAGTTCTCAAAAGCCAAATTGCTATTAGCATTTAATGATCATTGGCTTGTTAAATGCTTTCTGCTGAGATGCTCAATTTAGTTATAAACATATGAGAGTTGAAGGAAACTTATACGTTTGATGGCTTTGAGAAAATTTCAAGTATGCTTATGACTGAAAGATTATGTAAAATTGTCTTTAAATCAAGCCCTATGACTTTCACTACTAGAAATTTTCATCTAAAAGTCGTATACTAATTAATAGTCACAATTTACTTATCATTTGTAGCTTGTTCTCATATAGCACTAAGATGGTACACTCGTTGATTAAGCACATAACACCCTCAATTTTTTTTTTTTTTTAGTTTGACTTCATTTTTAACCCAAAATGATAAATAAAAAAAAATGAACGAAAATTTAGTCGCAACTTAAAATACTAACAGAAAAACATCAGCTTGTTCATCGACAAATTTTTATAAATCTCATAATATACCGACAAGATAAACTAGCAAAACTATTCTTCTTCAAAATATGGTTGTGATTAGTTTACAAGACTACTGGGACAAAAAGAAGTATGCCTGTACAGCAATTCATATTACCAAAAATCTAAAATTGCATTACAATTTGCTTTTAAATCAAATGACATTTTTTTTTTAAAACATTTAGATTCAAATTCATCATCTACAGACTAAAATTATCTTATAGTTGCAAAAAGTAATCAAACCTACATTTGATCAAGCAAAGAAATAATTTCAAACAATGATATGAGGGTTAATTTCATGAAAAAAATCTCTACAACGGAGTGGTTCTCCATCTCTTGAATGAGTAGTCTCATTCATAATGTAAGAGATGGAGAATAGATCAATCAAGGAGGGTTCCATCCTCTTTCCTTTTGTGCTTCATTGCCCCCTCTCATAAAAGCAAAGATTAAGAGGTACTTATATTGAACTTTTTTTTTTTTTTTTTTTTTTTTTTTGCTTTGTTAACCCTATATGACCAAGACATGTGAAAATTGCATTAACGAGCGTATCCAAAATCAAATATGCTTACCCAAGTTTCTTCTATTATTCTTTGAAGTATGCGACTCTTCTATATCAACAAAACCACTCAACTCCATACCAATTTCTTTTTCCTAAAATAAGTTTAAACCCCTAGTCCCCAGGTTTGGCCATCCTCCAATGATCTCAAAACATGAGCCCCCTCTCCCCATAACTCCAAAAAAAAATTCCGTAACATTTACATACATCTTAACTATACAATAAAACCTTAACCCTAATAACACCAACGAACCCGCATGTCTTCTCCACAACAACACAAGTGTGCATCACCCATAAATTGAAGATCCTTCCCGAATACCGATTGATTGATGGAAATAGCAAGATTCTGAAGAACATGTCGGACATTATATTGAAATAAGGAAATGTTCAAAGTTCATTGATACGACTAGAATTGAACCATATGAAAAAATAAATATAAAAATTAATTAGATATGAACTAAATATTGCAATAACAATATAAGAATAAAACTATAAATAAATTAATAAAATACAATCATAATTTCCTAGGTTTTAAAATAAATAATTATTAATCCAAGTTGTTGAGCATACTTATAGGCTATAACAAAGCCATCAAGCTCTCATCCATAAAACAGCTGGCCCTATCCCAAAAAAAAATTTAATATTCTAAAAAAAAAAAAACTGCCCTGCCATATAAACCCTTTCTTTAGGCTTAAATGCCAGTATAACCCTCCCCTCCCTCCCTCTATATATGGCTAACCTAACAACTTAGTGGTATTTGGAAGCCAGAGTGCATCAATACTTCACGGTGTTGACATGGATGTTGCCTGCGAAGTGACTGGCATGTGGCTCATAAGCTTTAACCAATTTTAGATATAAGAGAAAAAATATATATACAAAATAATATCTATGATTTTCAAAAGAGGGAACCAATTCACTGATTTTCTGGTTGAACTGACAAATCAACCTGTTGTCGGAGATTTGAAGACAGAAACGACCAGTTATGTGTTCAAGACTGGAACAGCCATTGGTTCAACCTTAGGAACTGTAATCGACTAGGAACTAAACTACATGGTTCTACAATAATTTTTACACGTCGATAAAATATAAAGAATGAATCGCCATATGATATCAGAAATATAATGCAAATAAAAATTCTATAAAAAAAAATAGAACCACATGATGTTTCTCAAAGACTGAAAAACAATTGCTGGTTCATGGACGTAAAAATCACTCATTTATGTGAAACTTCCTATTTGGATGCTCTAAGCATAAAGATTCACATACCAACAAGCTAAAAACTGCAACGAGGAGATAAAATTAAGTCACCATAGCAAACATAATCATAATTAGATCTGCATATTATTATAGAAAATAAAAACAAATATATTAAATTACAAGAAGTAGTTGCAGCATTAGCTGCTTGGATCTCTCTAAAGATGCCAGTTTTCTGATATAAAATGCTATAGCCTCATGAGGCTGAATAATCCTGCTGAGGATCTACTAATGGCCAATCTCTACGGATGTCGAACGTGTAGTTTATCTCTAAGTAGCATTTGTCATCATCGTCAATGAACTGATACAAAAAAAAAGTTACTTCTTAAACTTGGTAAGAAACTATAAATTATAAGTTGTACTCCTACGCAGTTACTGAGCAGAACTGACACAGACACAGATATATATTTATATATATATATATATAAAGAGAGAGAGAGAGAGATTGCGGTTATTCAGATACATCTCCTTGATAGAATAAAAAAAAACACAATTCCTTCGTCAAGAAATAAAAATTCAATCTACTCGACGAAATGAGTGAAGCAAAATAAGAGAATTCGAGTTTAATTCCACGTCATATAGAAAAATATGTCAACATAGAAATACAAATTCATTGATCATCGCATATAGGTCTACAACTTTGTGTTGATAATGAGTTTAATTACTAGTATATTAAACCTAGCTTGATAATGAATCAGTAGGTTTAGTGTGATGAGCTTATTATGATGAAAAAATAAATATTATGAAAGGCTTTAATGTTTCAATTAAATGATTAAAAGATTGATATGATGCAATTATCATAAGGGTTAAAATGATTGAAAAAGGGCTATGACGACAAGGAGGATGGGCTACAAATCAAGATTGAAGGTTTTACATCTATGCCTTGTAGCTTTGAAATTTATATTTAAGATCATGTAATTAAAAAGTACTAAACTTCATGTTCGATAAAGAAAGAGAAAAAATGAAGGTAACTCATGCAAAAACCACCATTTATAAATTTAAACACCTGTTGGTCATTGAAAGAATAAGATGAAACAATTTTAGAGGTAGGATACTTGTCTGTGAAATAAGCTTTATTTTGAATACAAATCTTAATAGTTAAATTGTTGATGAGGTTCAGTTAAGAAATCATTTTGTTATTGGAGGCATGCATACAAAAAACATGACAAGCTTAATCAGCTACAAGTACTTCTGTATTATAGATTAAAATCCGATGATTATATGAGAGTCTCAATCATGAAGCCCAGCAAATACACTTACGATAAGTTAATTACGGCATAAAAAGAGAATATCATACACTTACGATAAGTTAATTACGGCATAAAAAGAAACCATTGTTAGTGATGCAAACATAAGAATATCAATACATGGGTTTCATTTATTCAATTTGAAAAGAGATGAATGTATGTTTTTCGCTGATGATATCCTTCTTATGGATAAGGCAAGAGAGAGTTTTCAAAAAACTTGAATTACGGAGATCAACTTTAGAGTCTAAAGGTTGTTTGAGTAGATCTAAAATTGAATGCATTGAATGTAATTTTAGTAGTGATAGATCTAATAGCGAGGTTGTAACAATAGATGATTAAGTCATAAAAAGAGTGTAACATTTTAGATATCTAAAATCTATTGTTCAAAGTGATGGTGATATAGATCGAGATGTTATTAGTAGAATTCAAGTTAGATGGTTGAAGTGCAGGAATGTATCGAGCCTATTGTGTGACTTACAATGCTTTGTGGCATAGCATGTTGGCCAATAAAGGTGAAGCATAAAATTAAGTGTTGCTGAGATGAGAATACTCAGGTGGTCGACTGACTTTACACTTAGAGACAAGTATGAAAAAAAATATATCTGTGAATGGGTTGGAGTAGCTCCAGTGGCAGGCAAGATTAGAGAGAGTCGCCTTGATGGTTAAACGTCAATTATTTGATGACCTAGTTAAGAAATTAGATGTTTTAAATTTAACTATACTAAGAAAGGCAAAGGTGGACCTAAAAAGACTTAGGCATGTTGTATATAAAATAATCTTAATTTACAAAAAACTAAATGAAAATGTGACACTCATTAGGGCAAAATGGAGAAAAAGGATTCATTTAGTCGACCTCACTTGATAGGATAAAGGCATGTTGTTATTATTGTTGTTGTTGTCAATTGATTGACGGAGTTTTAATGAAGTTACAATTTTTTCATCACATATTTACATAAAAATATTGGTAATTTTATTTTTGTTGATCATAAATATAATAATGTTTGTATTATATATTCAATAGAAATATTATAAAAAAATTACATAAGAATTATTCGCAATAATTCCTCAACCATTAATAAGAATATGATAGTTAATAGTCTAAAACATAATTTAATTAGTGTCAGTCAATTATTTGAAAGGTATTTATAGGAGGATGTACCTTGTGTATGTTTTTCGCTGATAATATCCTTCTTATGGATAAGACTAGAGAGAGTTCAAAAGAAAATTGAATTATAAAGATCAACTTTAAAGTCTAAAGGTTGTCGTTTGAGTGTATCAAAAATTGAATGCACTGAATGTAATTTTGGTAGTAGTAGATCTAGTGGTGGGGTTGTAACAATAGAAAATCAAGTCATTAAAAAAAGTGAACCTTTTAGATATCTCAAATCTATTGTTCAAAAAGATGGAGATATAGATGGAGATGTTATTAGTAGAACTCAAGTTAGATGGTTGAAGTGAAGAAATGCATTGTGTGATAAAAAAGTATTGCTTAAACTTAAAGGAAAATTTTATAAGATGGTGGTGCGACTTACAATGCTTTATGACATAGCATGTTGGACCGTAAAAGAGAAGCACAAAATTAAGTGTTGCTGAAATGAGAATGCCCAGGCGGTTGAGTGACTTTACACTTAGAGACAAAATATGAAATAAATATATCCGTGAATGGGTTGGAGTGGCTCCAGTGGCAGACAAGATCAAAGAGAGTCGCCTTGATAGATTGGTCACATTAAACCTCAATTATCTGATGACCAAGTCAAGAGATTAGATGTTTTAGATTTGGCTTATACTGTGAAAGGAAGAGGTAGACCTAAAAAAAGTTAGGCATCTTGTGTAAAAAATTATCTTAATTTATAAGAATTAAATGAAAATGTAAAAAGACTTAGGCATCTTGTGTAAAAAATTATCTTAATTTATAAGAATTAAATGAAAATGT